CAACTCTGCCGACCTGCGAGAAACCTGACAAGTGGGGAAAGTCCTGTGTCAGCGCGCCAGGCTGGCTCTGGGGCTGCACCGCGCTGGGAAAGGACGCGCCGGGCACCGGGCTCCGCAGGGCTCAGGCCCGGCTGCCAAGCCCCAAGGCGAAACGCTCTCCCAGAGCCCCAGGGTTCTGCCTCAGCGATCCTTCCGAAAGTCCCTCCTCCCTTTTTCCCTGTCTTTCCCCAGGGGCTCCCTGTTAGTGCTGGCTGGGAGGCTGTTGATTGTTGGCAAAGAGTTTCAGCTCCACGGAGCCACAGCCGAAGAATAGTTGTTTAATCTTTCACGAGAGCTACAAAGGTAAGCACCGAAACAGGCATGGATGGAGTTGGTATAGGACCGAAAGAAGCCAAAGACAGGAAAGGGATACCCCTCCCTGCCCAGAGGAATTAGAGCCCTGACATCACAGAAGGGGTCGCCACACTCCCTTTTGGTGGAAGCCACCTCCACTTTCCAGGAGCCCTTCAACCTAGGACCTCAGGGTTCCTTGCAAGTCAGGAACAGTGTCCTTCCTCCTTGGCAGGTACTGTACTTTTCATTTTTCTCCAGCCCACTCCCAGCAATCTTGCTCTATCCATCAGATAAGGGCTTACTTTTCAAAAGTATGACAAAAGAGAGGACTAGGTTTTCTTCGTTGGTCCAGTGCCCATCCATGTGTCCTTCACAAAGGAATAAAATGATGGTGTCTAAATGCTGAATGTTTTCCCACTTGGTGGTTTCCCACTTTCCAACACCTGGAAGTGCGAGGAGTCGGGACCGGTACAGCTGTCCCATTATCCAGCCAGAAAAGCATCTGGTGTTGACATTGTGACCAAAAAGGACTTTCCAATTCACCTACCATAGACTCTGACACTATATCTTTAAAGCCAGTCCTTCCAGATGCACTGGAAGCACAAACAGCTTCACTGAGTCCAGGCATTATTATCATGCAAAGATAACATTAAGCAGCCACCATATGTTAACGTGGAGATCATTTATCCGAATCAAACCAGTTACCCATTAAATGTCACCCAGCCCCAAACACTGACCTAGAGAAACGTGATGCCAAGGAAAGAAATTAGTTTGACTGACAGCTTGTTCTGAGGATGGACGATAGCAGCATGGTCCCCAAATGGGGCTTCCCATCCATGTGTGACCTTGGACAGGGTGCTCTCTGAATGTGGAAGTGCCGTCATGATAGCAAGCATGAATCTGGAGTTTCCTTTCATCCAAGCAGCACCCTAAGGGCGCTCCATTCATATAATACAACTCTGCTGAGCAGACACTACCATCCAGTGTTATCATATGCAAAAAGAAGCACCAGGACAAAACTTCAATACAAAGAGCACCGAAATAGAAACAACCAGTCAAATCACATTATCTCACCCTATCCTGAAGTGTCCACCTTACAACTCCCATTTTCCATACCTACAAAGTGGAAAGTTTAGGCAAAAAGTTCTCCTGTGTCCATTCCACCTTTATTATTCTTTGAGGCCATGTAGAGGGGCTTGGGAAAAGCACCCACTGAAAAGAGAGATGAATGGTACTATATGCATGTTACTACATCAAGGTTTCTCTAAACACTGGTGTGAGAGAAAAAGCAGAAGGGGAATGATTGAGGATGACACTGATCTTCCAGGCCCACACCGAACTTAGGAATGGTTTCTAGTGTTACTGGGATTTTGACTAAGTCAGAGAAATGCAAATTTTGAAAGCAAAAGGAATGAATGATGTTCCACTGAAATGAGGCAAATAACAGAGACAATTTATTTTCAAAGTTTCTAAATCAAGATTTTATTTGATTTTAGTTTAAAATTTAAACATTCAGAGCTGGCCAAATAGCTCAGCAGATTAAAGCGCCTATAAGCAGCTGCAGGGGCTAGGGGTTCCATCCCAGACCTGCTGTGCCAGCCCCACCTCCGGGGCACATTGAGAAGGCAATTGAGACTGGGTGTGCTGGTGTGCGCCTGTAATCCCAGCTCTTAGGAGGCTGTAAACAGGTGGAACACTCTGAGTCTGATCTAGTAGTGAGACCCTGAACACCCTGTAGACCCTTCCCTAAAATACAAAATAAATAAATATAAGATTTAAACATTCATTAGAAGGTTTATAAAAGTATAACTTCTTTATTTTAGAGCATATTTTTTAGTTTCAAGATTTTCTGAATGTTTGATCAACAGAATATTTCAAATAACAGAAGAGATTCCAATGCAAGCCTCAACTTTAAAGCATACAGAGCTGCTCTTACTGAAAGGAGAAGAATTTAACGGATTCTCAGGGAATGTCATTATCACCTTTGTCTTCCTCCATCTCTGTGTGCCTGGTGCTCCCACTTCATTGATGAGAAAGGTGAAGTCAAAGTATCACAAAATAATTTTGGATTCTGCTCATCTAACCCAGAATTCTACACTAGAAAATAAGTGTTTCTTTTGTTAATAAAATGTTGGTTTTCAGATGAACCATGTTATTGAGTCCCTCAGGTTTTGTTGTCTCCTTGTTCATCACAGACAGAGCAAGCTTGATTGTCACAGCCACGCGACAAGCTATAAGAGACAAGCAAAAAAATGGATGCAAATGGCGCAGAAAGAAAAGGTCTAACAAAGCACAAAGCTACTCACTACTTTGCACTGGAGGTTAATTTTCATTATTACCTCCTAACCCAGCTTTTTGAAACATGTTCTTCAGAAAAACCTCACAAGGTCAAATATCAATAAATATTTTTAGACATACATGCATACATACACACATACAAACAACAGTTGAAATAGCTCCCCCAAAATACATATAGTAACTTTGTCCAAGTACCACCAAACCTCTGCCTTAGGACCATTAAGTATCTTAAAAGACTAGATAGTGGTTTGAAGTAGAAACTGGATGACGACCTGATAACAAAATAGGAATCATGCTTTGTAGGCATGAGAATGACCCCTCAGGTCCTCTTCATTTCTAAGATTTCATGATTTGATAATAATCACAATTGTCACAATTATCATCCCTACCAGTTACTGAGAGCCAATGTATCCAGCACCACACTGAGCATATAGGACAGGCTTTATATGCATCCTCAACAAAATACTTCTAGAGAACTTATTATGTCCATTGTGCAGAAAAAGCTCACCCCAAACCAGGTGCCTTTTACAAAGTTATGCAGCTGAGAAGTAGCAGAGCAAGTCTCAAACCCAAACCAGCAGGCTACACTCACGTTCCTTTCCTCTTATTGTACCACATACTTGCAAACATATAGAAGACTAATAAAAGTAGATACTAGAGAAGGTAGGGCTGCAGCAGGAACAGAGATAAGGGTGTGACCCACACTGTAAGGATTAGCACCCAACATAGTGAAGGGACAGTTGAACTGGGTCTTGAAGGTGAGTGAGCAAAAGTTCCTTTCATGGAAGATGGGCAGAGGCAGGTGACTCCACAAAGAGGAAACAGCATGAAAAGAGGAACAGAAAGGTTTGTCTGGCAATCCATGAATAGCTTTGTGGCTTACCTCTAAACTAATGACTAGGGAGAGCCAGAGAAAATTCTAGAAGGGTCAACTAGATTCTGTGGTCAGGAAGATACTTGGGCTCCTTCCTGCCAATGTTAGGAAGTCAAGGGTGCTTCTCAGCAGGCAGTGACAAGGTCACCTATGAAGCATTCCTGGTGCCCTGAGTCTCTTCTACAGAGGCCCCACAAACCCCCCACAGGAATGTGACACCCATGGAGCCAATGGTCGACAGGGCTCTAAAAAAGAACTTTAGCTACCAGATACAAACAAGCTCCTCAGCTAAAAAAGGAAGAAAGTTAGACAAAGAATACAGGAAAAACAAAGCACAGTCTCCCATGAACACATGTCTTCCAGGAGCAAGATCATGACTGTTTATTGTGACCTCCAAGAATCAGGTCTGTGCCCTTGATTTATTTTTCTCAACTTGGCAGTGACGTTACCAAAAGAGCTGTTAAGGAAATTCTGGAGACACATTTAGGACATCGAAACTGACGCGAGGCACAGCAGTTGCACCTTCCCACCCAAACCAGATGTCCCACAATAGACTGTTTGTCAGCAGATGCTGTTCTCACCCACTGGCCTCTGTAGAGACAGCACAGACTTTTCCTCTGACGTCTCTTTGGTTTGATTTTATGATTTTTGGACACAGTCTATCACAGGTAGCAACCTCACTAGAAAAAGATGAAAAGACAGTGAGCTAGAAAAGCCTGGAGGTTCCCCCAGTCTAACGCTATCTGAGCAGCCAGTGTCAAATGTACATGCCCAAAGACTGGCTCAGGGCGTCTGAGGAAAGAATAAGCTGGGAGAAGGAACAGGAGAACCCCAGATCGGGGGCAGTCAGTGTAGCTTGGATGGGACCCACAGGTTCTCCCTCTCTGCCAAGAACCTTCTGTTGCTCTCACGGACGCTCATGCAATCTTTCCAATAAGACAGCCCAGGCAGGCAGAGGACTGGCTCCACCACCTCACACAGAATAAGACCCTGCCCTTCTCTAGTCATGCCTGGGTTGAGCATGATGTCCTCTGGATCTCCTTCCAGTGCTCATGTCTACTCAATTGAAGGCCACAGTCTGATCTAAGGTAGCTGAACTTTTCATGAGCCCAAAAAGCTACTGAAAAGGCTGGATATGACCATGTTAGATCTAATCCCACCAGGCCAGATACAGATACGTAAGCCATGAGCTAGACTAGGTAATGAAAACCTATACTTCTGAACCAAGTGAGTAGTCCAGGAGTGACAGGTGACTAAAACATATCCAATCTTACTTCCTTATGGAACATTTGATGTTGGCCCTTGAAGAAAAAGAGAGGGTTTGTTCTCTTTTCTTTGAGATAAGCTATGGGTTTAAGTTCATCTTAGCATATTTTCCACTATATAGAAAGAGTATACCATAAAAAATCACATTGACAAAACCTGAGAGAAGAAATAGAGAAACAGAGAAAATAAACTGTGAAAAGGTCTTCGAGCTGCTTGATCCAGCTATGCCTGAAGCCAGAGCCACCCATGGACCTGAAAATGATATGACTCAAATAAATGTCCCCTTTCCTATGTTTTTCACTTTAACTACTTTCAGTTAGAATCATGTTGCTGACAAAGAATCCTGACTCATACAACTTC